TGACTCGGCCCGTTCTGTGACTCGGCCCGTTCTGTGACTCGTCCCGTTCTGTGACTCGGCCCGTTCTGTGACTCGGCCGGTTCTCTGACTCGGCCCGTTCTGTGACTCGGCCCGTTCTGTGACTCGTCCCGTTCTGTGACTCGGCCCGTTCTGTGACTCGGCCCGTTCTGTGTGTGTTCCTGCAGGAATGTGTGGACATCGATGAGTGTGTGGATCTTCCTAATGCCTGCGCATCAAACTCTGTCTGCATCAACACTGTGGTGAGTTTTCACCTGGATTTACACACAAGCATGAAAATAAGTTTTATGAGGAACTTTGTTGATCCAGAAAAATGTTTAATTTCCTTTTTATCCCGAACTGCTTGTCCAGATCTACTTCCAGAGAGATCTTTCATTTCACTCCCAATCTGAACATTTGTTTGTATTTTTCCAACTTTATATCTGACCTCTGAACCAGTTGGCTGGAAAATCCTGGTAAAGCCAGAGAACAGCTCCCCCTGGTGGACATTTACCTGTAATAGCAACCTTGGTTCATTCTGTCTCTCTCAGGGTTCTTACAAATGCGGAGGCTGTAAACCCGGTTTCTTCGGCAACCAGACATCAGGCTGCTTCCCCAGGAAGTCGTGTGCTTCTTTGACCTTTGACCCTTGTGACACTAACGCCCACTGCGCCATGGAGAGGAATGGAGAGGTTTCCTGCAGAGTGAGTACAGCAGTAACATGAAGATGGACATTAACAGTTACACACATGATTGACGATCCATGCTCCAGTTATGGAAATAGGAAAAATCATTGCTGGGCGTTTAGGATGTGTTAAGTTTGGCTTTTAGAGATTATTAGAGTGTTTTCTGCTGGAATTCATTCCCACAAAGCAGCTGAGTGTCAACCAGAAAGATGCCAGAAGCTAGTTGGTGTCAATATACCTCATATACCTGCGTCCTCACTAGAACTATAGAAAGTAGACCAGTTGATCCAGACGCTGCTGCCTGCGTCCTCGCTAGAACTAAGAAAGAGCACATCTGCCCAGTTCTAAAGTCCTTCCTCTGGTTTCCTGTATCTCAGAAAATCGACTTTAAAATCAGATGATTTTAACAGAGAAATTTAACTCGAAGTTTCTAAAGATGATGTATGCTGGCTTTCGCTCTGTGTAAGGTTTAAGTGCTCATGGTTGTGGGTGCGATTCCAGTGTAACGTGGGCTGGGCCGGGAATGGACACACCTGTGGGATGGACACGGACATCGATGGTTACCCCGACCGCTCTCTGCCCTGCATGGACAACCACAAACACTGTAAACAGGTCAGATGGCAGATCTGCTGCCGCCGGCTCTCACAGCCTGGGATGTGTTCATGACGATCTCTCCGTGTCCATCAGGACAACTGTGTCTTCACCCCAAACTCAGGGCAGGAGGACGCCGACAACGACGGGATCGGAGACCAGTGCGACGAGGACGCGGACGGGGACGGCATCAAGAACATTGAGGTTTGAAGATGGTTCCACATGTAGATGTAGATCCTGCTAACCCAGCTGAGGTCACATGATGTGCTGTCTGCTGCTCAGGACAACTGCCGTCTGGTCCCCAACAAAGACCAGCGGAACTCGGACAGCGACTCCTTTGGAGACTCGTGTGATAACTGTCCCACCGTCCCCAACAGCGACCAGAAGGACACGGACAACAACGGACAGGGAGACGCCTGCGATCAGGACATCGATGGAGATGGTGAGCATGAGCAGCCGTCTCTTCTTCTCCTAAACCAGAGTAGAGAAAGACCAGAGTAATCAAACACAGATTGACGTTGTGCAAATGGCAAAGCTTCCATTTTAACCTGGAGACATGAAGCCAGTAGGAACCTGGTGGATGTTCATTTTCATGACAAATGATCAGCTGCCAATACTCTCAGGTTTGTGTTAAATTGACTTCCTGCATGTTATGGTGGGGTAAACAAACGATAGGCTAACTAGCGCTGCTAACAGTGTTCCCCTTATTCCTCCAACCAGCAGCAAACTGGCTCCTAGTGTTCAGAGTAGCAGCCATTGGATGGACAGCACCCCCTACTGGCCTGGATAGTCAAATACATGCAGGGATACTAGTTTCAGAGTCGTTGAGGTCTTTGTAAGCTTGCAATACCTAATACTGGTCTATGCCTCTGTAAGGGGGGGCATTAGGGGGAATTGTTGGTTTTTGAAACCTTAAATACCCCCCCCCGTTTAAGGTTGGTTTTTCTTTCTTAACATAGATGCTTCCTTCCTCTCAAACCACCTGTCTTCTTTGTCCAAAGTGTGGACATTCTGGTCCTCCAAAGAATGTCCTTTGTCCATCAGGTGTAGATGTAGCGCAGAGTCTTGTCCAGAGGAGGGCGCTCTTCTGTGTTGGGCCATGCGTCTGTGGAGATCAGAGCATTCCTCTCTGCATTGACCTGCAGACACCCCTCCAGGGGTTTAGTCTTTAGGATGAACTAGTCTCTGTTTGAGGGTCTGATTGGTTTGAAATGTTCTGGGATTTAGTTTTTGGAGAAAATCATCTGGAGTTTTTCTGATAATCCAGCAACATCTGGATTAGATATGTTTTTGGGTTTAATCTTCTCACCGTTATGTTCTGCTGAGTGTCTTTTGGATTTCCTGCTGATTTGACAAACGGCCAGTTTGGGTCTCCACAGGTTTGGAGAAAATCTTTGATGTTTCTGTTCTTTGTGCTTCCCTTCTGTTTTAGTAGGCAAAGCTCAGCATGATGTTGGAAGGTTCTGATGATTGAAAGTTTGTGTTCCAGTGGGTGGCGTGATTCAAAAAGAAGATATTGGTCTGTGTGAGTGGATTTCCTATAGACTTCTAATTTAATACAAACCTGAGAGCTTAGCTGCAAACTTTAGCAGAATTTTAGAACCAAAATTAAAAATCTAATACTAAACGTGAAAAACAGTCAAACTGGATATTCAATGACATAAAAAACAGTTTAAAAACATATTTGTTACACGGTTTATAAGAAATATGGTTTGAATTGAGTGAAATTCCCCTTAAAAGCAAAAGAATTGGTTTCTGATTTTGCATAAACAAATCTGAGCCGTTCAAACTCTGTTTCTGCTCCAATCTGATGTTAGGGAAGAAGGCCGACACGAGTCCAGTGAAGGATATCCACCATCAGGGGTCATTGCCGTATTTTATACAGTTCATCAGATCAAAACCACAGTCAGTGGAAACAGGGTTATGAGTCGGCCCAATCCCAAACTGGTCCCTAACCCTCTCTGCGTTCCATGGAAGCTCCGCCACGTTAAGGGCCGTCCCAAACCACCTAGGGGGTAGGGCGAGTGGGCCGTTCAGCCCTGAAATAGCAAGGCTGCATCAGTGCAAACTGGCTGGAATTTGGCAGTGGGTGTAACGGCGACCTAGCGGCGGAGGAAACGTGTGCCGGTAATTTCCACTGATTTGTTAGGAAAAATGAAAAAAACATAGTTAATTCAAAAATGGAAGGTTCTCTTTAAACCTTTCACCTTTTTTCAAGATAGGGTCAAATGGTTGATTGCATGTTCTACAGCCACGCAGATGGGACGACACTGTGTTGCCATAGCAACAACTGCATCCCTTTTCCGTTGGAGGCTGTCCCATTCTCTTTTATACCCCCCCACCTTGAATCAAGGCACCTTCCACAGCTGTGATTGAGACTTTATTGGGAGTGACCGTCGATAGTGAAGGGTTAGTGCTTAGGGAGCTCTTTGGGATTGGGCCATAAAATCCCCCTGACCTTTACACCAGCGCTCACACATACAGATGATCCAGATGTTTCCTGGCTTCTGTGATGCTGCATCCGGTCTGGACTGGTTGGTTTGGATCTTCTGAAACCTCTTTAATAGAAAAGATCAGCCCTGGTCTTTCTGTTCAGACGAGTGGGTTTAAGTCTGCTCAGTGTCTCTGTCTGTGTTCAGGCATTCCCAACGTTCTGGATAACTGTCCCAAGGTTCCCAACCCCATGCAGACCGATAGAGACCGAGACGGAGTTGGAGACGCCTGCGACAGCTGCCCTGAACTCAGCAACCCCATGCAGGTGTTGTGCAACTTCAATATACGTATTTATTTTATTTATTACCCACCCCGGTACTGGTGGTAAATGTTATTTAATCAGGTAAAATCTGAAATGTCATGTATTGTTTGTGAGTTAGAACACTAAATGAACAAAAAAATAAATTCACCACATTTTCCATTCAAAGTATAAGAATTTATTAACAAAAATCATTCATCTCCAAGTCAAACATATTTGCATTAAAATGTTTGACTAAAGTAATGAAACCCAACTAAGCTACTATGTACACAAAGAAACAAATCTAAATTGTTGTAAACCATAATCAGTCAAATGATGCAATGAGAGTTTACCTGGATTGTCAGGGTTCTTCCCTCGGTTTGGATTTATTTTCAGTTTTTTTATTTCTTGAGTTACTCTCTGTCGCCCCCTAGTGCCTGTTTCCTTTTCTCTTGGCTTCCTTCAGGTTACTTCTGTCCACACCTGCTCCTTTGTTCTGTTCCCCATATATACACCTCCTCTGCAGTTCCTCATCGCTGGTTTCTTCATGTTTTGTTGTTACTCGGCTCCCTGCGTGTTTCTCCCTGGAATCATCTGGTTTTGGTTTTCAGTATTTTGGATATTTTCCCCATGTTTGCCTCTGGATCTTGTATTTGGGTCTTCAGTAAACCTCCACCAAACATTGACATGGATTTTATGTTTGAGAACCAAAGTTTATCTTGATGAATTTGTGATGTCATCAAATTAACTTTTAACTCATTTAGAGTGAGTTGAATGTTTTAAAACACATTAGCGATGTTGTCAGGGTTTGGTTGAGGTTTTGAGGACTCAAATTCAGAGGCAGGGAGGTAGAGATGAGTTCTTGAAGATTTAAATGAATCTTCACAAGCAACTGAAGCAGGAAACCGAAAATCCAGCATAAAAATGTGAAAGAAACCAGAACCATGGAGAAATCAGGGAAAACAACCACGAGGAGCGAAGGAAAGACAAGGAACCAGCACTGAGGAACGGCACAGGGAGAGTATTTATGGCTGACTGAACAGTTGCGGACTAATGAGCTGATTGGGAGCAGGTGTGAACAGCGGCTTCTAGACAGGAGCTGGGGAAAAGGAGACCAACACAAGGGGGCAACAGAGGGCAACCAAGAAATACCTAAGAACTCAAATATATCCAGAAAACACAACAAAATAGGAATTAAACCAATAGAACTAGAAAACATGGAGCAAAGTAAAACCGATTAATCAAAATAAAACTTAACAGAACCAACTGTGACACAATGCAAATCTATGAGGTGAATAAAACATTATTTTGCCGAATAATAACTCATTAGACTCTTAGACAACGTTTATTGTCATTTTCTATATAGAGTATACAAAACAAAATGTTGTTTATTTCAGCTTTTCAGACATTAAATGAAGATTTCCATTAAATAATTAGTGTAATCAGAGACCTTTGAGTCTTTACCTACCGCGGGTAAGCTAGCAGCTAGCGGACATGAGGATTCCCAATTAATTACTTTGGGTCAGAATTTGGTCATTCAAATATAGTGAGTATGAGAAAATGCATGGATATTTTTATCAGTGTTTAAATCCTTAGTGAAATAAAGCTTTTTCTAGCTTTATAAACAACAGCTCAGATGTGTTAGCATAGCATACCATGTGGCCAATCTTGTTAGCTTAGTCTTCAATGAACAGAAAAAAATCATCAAAAAGAGATTTTGTTCATCTGGAACATCTGTCGCTAAATGTGCCGTACCTACAAACCTCTGCTGATCTGCATGTGGAAGGCTCGAGTTTCTTCCAGGATTTAGCATTAAGCCGCTGTCACACCTTGCCGATCTATCCAGCCTATCTGCATGACGTCCCAGAATCTCCTAAACGCTGCCAGACGCTGAACTTTCTATGGATTTTTTCTATTCTGGGCGAATAGATAGAGGATTCATAACGAGTCCAGAACTTCTGTCCAACGACAGCCTAACTTCTGCATAACGGACGACAGCGTGATGCCCAGGAAGCGATGCACAGAGTCCTGAGGGGGGCAGAGATGCACCCGGCCTGCATAAAAAGATTTCTTCGATTGCAGTATTAACCTAGCTGCTGTTTACCGCCCACCAAACAATGAGAATAAATAAAAAGAAAGAAAGCAGGTTTCTGGTGTCAGCAGATTGAGCGTCATGTCTGCTAGGAAGTGTGTTGGTGGTGGGCGTGAACGCAGGGAGAATCCATCACACACCTTCTGGCTCACCCTATGATGGGGATGAAGTCTGGAGGAGAACTGACGGTTTCCTCCTGTGAACCCCCTTTATACCAAAACGCTGCCAATACGCCATTATACAGTAGCTGGAAGGTAGAAACACGTTCAGCGCTCGTCTGGAACACGGCAGATACGCTGATATGTTGGAGAGAAGTTCTGGATAAGTTACTCAGAGGTTTAGGATCAGCTAGACGCCACGACTTTTGACTTCCTGAAACTCATAAAAATGTTGGGTAAAGTTGGTTTGGCTTCCTTTTCGATGTGAACCACAGGAAGGCCTCATGGAAAGAGAAAGAAATCATCTGACTTTAGCGTTGTTTTGTCCTCATACACTTTGGGGGTAGGACTGCATCCCGGTAGGAGTGTCTTGTGGACATTGTCTTGGGGAAGGGAGCTCTGCAGCCGTTAGATTTGTTTGAGCCAACTGCATCGTCCCAACATGGCAGCCATGCTAAAGATCAGAATGAGAATTGGTCCTTAAAACACAGAGGTTACCAGATGGAACCGTAGCCGTTCATAGATCATTATTGGGTCAATAAGTTCTGCTCAGTGATCCGATCAAACAATCGTCTCCTCTCCTGCAGACGGACGTGGACAACGACCTGGTGGGAGACGTCTGTGACACCAACCTGGACACGTATGTCTGACAAACACACACCTGAACCACAGTCATGTTTAGCTTCAGCTGGTCCCCACAAGATCAGTAAATATTCAGGGCTGAGAAACACAAACGCCCTGCTCTGCTGTCGTCCAATCAGCGTGGAAGAAACATGAAGAGCTGCACCTCTTCTCCTTCTGTCCCCGCAGGGACGGAGACGGCCACCAGGACAGCAGAGACAACTGTCCCGATATTCCCAACAGCTCCCAGCTGGACTCAGACAACGATGGCCTCGGGGACGACTGCGACCACGACGACGACAACGACGGCGTCATTGACGACTACGACAACTGCAGACTGATCATCAACCCCAACCAGAAAGACTCTGATGGTACCGAGCAGAACCAGAACCAGAACCCATCCAGTCTGTCAGAGAAAAGAAATTCTCCTGGTTTATAAGAGGCGATAAAATATTAAAAAGAACAACAATAAGAAAAGAAAAATGTTTAGTTCTGAAACTTTGACGGATGTCGGTTTGAGTGTTTCTGATGCGCCTGGTTTCTGTCCATAACCCTCATCTTTACTTTCCCCATGTGAACCCTGACCTGAACCGGACTCAGTCTGGACCCGTCTGTGTCGTCTTTGTCCTCAGCTAACGGAGTCGGAGACGTCTGTGAGAACGACTTTGACAACGACGCGGTGATGGACCTGATCGATGTGTGTCCAGAGAGCGCCGAGGTCACGCTGACGGATTTCAGAGCCTATCAGACGGTGATCCTGGACCCGGAAGGCGACGCTCAGATCGACCCCAACTGGGTGGTTCTGAACCAGGTATGGATCGTCTCAAAGGTGATCTCAGAACAGAACCGCTGGTCGTCTTCCTGTTCGGAAGAAGCTGAGGTAAATAAACGTGTGTCTACGTTTAATGATGGAGGAACCACAACCGTCCATGTACAAAGAAGCTCCGCCCCCTTCAGCTGTAGGGATTCAGCTTCCTGTAGAAGCCCCCGCAGCAGGTCTGGACTTTAATTTGATGTAGTCTATCTGCAGACCTGCGCCGTCGGAACCGGAAGCTAATTCAGAGCCTTTCAAAGTAAAAGCAAAGTCAATTTAAAGCCACTATACCAGAAATATTTTTATTTAAATCCATTTTTTCCTGTGTTTATTTCCTGGGTCTTTACTATAGAAATGTTTTTGTCTATTCATATTTTTAATGATGTATATATGATCTCTTTCCAGTTCAATTGGATAAGGTTGCCAGTATTATATTCTATATTCTTTATTCTTTTAGTATCGTTTGTGCTGTTCTTATCTTTGCTGTTGGGCTATTATCCAATGGAGGCAGAAATTCAAATTAACTTAGCTGGTTGTTCTCATAGTGAATTAGTGAATATCTAGAAACACAATAGGAAATAACTACAGTTTTTTTTCCCACAACATCAGAGAAAACAGTCGACATGAAAATGACTTTCAAATATCTATTTATTTTATTTTCTTGGAAGTGTTTGCGTCGTTGAAACAGCAGATTTGACAGCATGACGCAGCCTTTAACTTCAGGTTAAGTTCCAGCGGGAGTCACATTAAAACGTACGTCTGTAAGAAAACATGTTGGGATAATTAAAAGAAAATCACCAAAAATTATGACAAAACACGTTTTTCTTGTTTTTTTCTAAAGTGGGGAATAGGCAGATTTCAGTGAGATCTCACCTCTTCTAATAAAATCTGTCGGTACATCCGTGCTACATGCTTTTCTTGAAGGCTTTGGATAAAATAAACTTCCTGTTCTGACGGCGCAGGAGACCGACTCAGGATAAAGATCAGGAGGGAGGAGCTACAGTCTGCTGTTCTCCCAAACAGTCTGACTGCTTCAGGGTCATGACCTTTAACCCTGAGGCCTGTAGAGTCTAAAGCTCGGCATATTGTACGATTTTTTCAATCTCTGCGCTCAGCTACAGCTCAAACTGTACGATGAAACCGCAGAGTTTAAAAGTTCACAGCTCAGGATGTTTGTTCTCACACTGACGACCCGACGCTCTGACGCGATCTACCTGCTCACGCTGTACGACTAAAACCTGCATGTCGGACTCAGCTCCGAGAGATGGCGCTGGTCGGTCAATCTGGAAGAAGAAGAAGAACTCCCCTGTTCCAACACGCTCAGTGTTTGAGGTTCTGCAGCAGGATTTACCCACGACCACCTTACGACGGCCGACTGAATTTCAAACATGTTTGATTTTCTCCCGACCTTCTGATTCCTGATGGGGAGGCGGTCGTTAGAGGCTGATCGCCCCTCCTTACCTCGTTACGCCCGGCTTGAGGAGGAGCTCATGAGTTTGTGCTTATTGATCTGAGCTCCGTGCTCTGACCTTGGACTAATCCCTGAATGCTCGCCTCTGCAGAACGCTGGTTTGGAGATGACCTCCTGACCTTCCCAGCAACAGTTGCTGCTCGGTGGTCATGGCTGCCGTCTTCCACAGACCAGTGGTTTTAAAGAGGTGATGAAGATGATGCACAGACACAGATGAAGATCAGGATCTAGCTGAAGGTCTCGCTGTATGAAAGCAGCAGCAGGGATGTAACTTTGCTAAATCCAGCGGTTGATGGTTGAAGCTTCAAGGAGAACTTTCTAGAACAATGACTGTTAGCATCAGCAAAAACGTCAGAATAGAAAGTTTTTCGGGTTTTGAGGGAAACGGTCTTCATTCTTCCGTCTTAGATCAGGATCAGATGTTGCTGGGATCAAACTCAGCTTCTGGCTTCGGTTCCGTTTTCCTTCCTGAACCTTTGAGGCGGATCAGAAACGTCTAACTTGATAATCAGCTGTTCCTTTTGTTCCCACTGTCAGGGCATGGAGATCGTTCAGACCATGAACAGTGATCCTGGTTTAGCTGTTGGTATGTTTACCTTCACTAAGTTTAGAAGCTTCTCCGCCTGTGATCCACTGGTAACCTGCAACCTTCTCCTTTATGCTCCTGCAGGCTACACGGCGTTTAATGGCGTCGACTTTGAGGGAACATTCCACGTCAACACGGTGACGGACGACGACTACGCCGGCTTCATCTTTGGCTACCAGGACTCCTCCAGCTTCTACGTGGTGATGTGGAAGCAGACGGAGCAGGCGTACTGGCAGTCCCTCCCCTTCAGGGCCACGGCGCAGCCCGCCCTGCAGCTCAAGGTTCCTGTTGGTTCTTCTTTCCTCTGTTCGTCACAGAAAGCCCTAGATGGCTGATTTATTTATTCTTCACATCAAACATATCAATGGGGAAACATTAGCATGTAACGCCGACGGCAATTGAGGCTAATCTAGCTTTTTTAGCTAATAGCTAATGGTAGCATAGCTTAGCACATTTTAATTAGCCCATCCTAGTTTAGCATGATACCTCTTATACATGGGACGTTTCTCAATTCACTAGAACGCGAGTACAGACTCGGTAAGAAAACAAGCATGTTCTAGAGAAGAACCCAGGAAAGTCTGGACTCGGGGAGAACGGGAC